CTACATCACAAAGTAACACATTTGCATAATGTCTGCCCACGTTCTGCGTCACCAACCCGCCCACAAACACACTAAAATTTCCATGTGGTTAACATAATGTCGAGAAGACGCTGTATCCCACGCTGTGAGAGTACATTTGTTTTGTCACATCTTATAATTACCACAAACTTGTTAACACTTGACACTTACCACTGAGAAACGTCCTGCTCCAGTCGTGCTTGCGAATCAGCCTCTTGTCGATCAGCCACTTCGACCGTTTCATCATCAGACTCCGGCTCGAATTGGTAAGGTACAATCGTTAGCGTTAGACCAATCGTTAGACCAATCCAGAGCCAATCTCTGTACGGCTCTGGAGCAATCACAAAGGACTGCGCCATCTGACCAATCACAGCAGTGAGGGCTCACGGAAAGGAGGGGTTTAGAGAGACTGATTCTTTGAACTGCTTTGCACGAGTCGTTTACGAATAATTTAGAAATGAGGTAAAATTTAATCTATTTTTTGAGAAAACTAGTGTTTTTTGACCATGTAAACCTGTTTTAGGAGACTCATAAAACAATATTAGCAACCTTAAAAATGGCATAATGGGGCACTTTAAACTATAAATATGCATATTAACACTTAATTTAGTTATATATACATGTTCATTTATTTACTTGTCACTGCAAGCAGATACTTATAACACAATATGTGTGACTTTATATGGACCTGTCCCCTGAGGACTGCTGGGTAATAGAACAGAACTAATCTGGGCTGCGTTTTCCAAAAGCAACTATGGTCGCAAGTTCCATCGTTACGAATAGAGTTCAGTGGAACTAAGGACCGTAGTTAGCTAATGATGCTTTTGGGAAACGCACCCCTGAACAATAGTGGCATGGACCATTAAACTTGATGGGTCCAATCTGGTCCAAGTAAATACAAGCTGTGGACTCATACAAGCTTGGCCTGTAGCAAGCTGATCTAATGAGTGTGGGTTTGTTCCAGGGGCAATTTATCAGTCTATCCTCAAAATTATGTTTCCGTCATTTGATTTTATTTTAGCCCTCAATTTTTGGGAATGAAATTGCTTTGAGGTTTGGTTATACAGCAGTGTGTCAGTGTGCAGTACAGCTCTTTTAACAACCCTCACAATGGTGGTGCTTAAATACTTCCTTCCAGGGTGGTATTAAATGGCAGAAGCCATTAGGTGAATCGTGTTTGCTGAAGAATCCTATGTCAGTAGCAAAACATTATCTTCTCTGGCCACTAAAAGACCCAGTTCAGTAGAGCCACAATTAGATATACCATAGTCTTAGGGTAAATGATGCCTTTGTCTTCTATAAAGCTTTGTTTGCTGTAAAATACAATCCATCCTCTTTGTGGTTTATTTGAATTATTCATGGGAATAACAACAATAAAAGAATGAAAACATACAGTAGTATTATATTAAAGACACGCAGTAAGAAATGCATATGGATGAATGAATATATGGACCAAGGTCCTACTTGCAGATTTGTTGAAACTATGTCTTACTTGGTGAACCTTGATTTGTTCCTCACAGATGCTTTTGTTGGGGGATTGATTGACCTCTTCTTTGCCTACATCTGTTATCGGCAGCACTACCCACCCATCCTGGACATAGACTGCCACCTGCCATATGCTAGTCTTGCTGTAGCGACTGGCCACAACATGCCATCCTCCCAGGATCAACCTCTACCCACTATCAATGCCACCAGCCTGCCTCTGGAGGGCATGACTGAGGGACCAGTATGACTAATAGAGACCCTCAAGGCTCACACCCCTCTGACCCCCTACCACACCAATGTGGTATGAACCACACTTGACTGAAACTTCAACATTCCAATGAATTGGACAGTTACATTTTGTTTCATTATTTGTATCTCTCTCTCTCTCTCTTTCAATCATTAAGCAGAGTCACAGCTCCAGCTTACTGATCAGTTATACTTAATTTAATTACTGAATATCAGTATTGGCAAGTTGGAACCTTGGACAATATGTATAAAATTTGTTAGTGCAAGAATCATTTCTTAAGTTGTCACATCTATCAAAGTCACATCTTATTCCCATTTAATACCTCAAAAAGGTGAGGTATATATTGACAGTATAGCATGATTTGGTTCTGGAAAAATGGAGGGAGAAAGACGTGTCTAATGTCTGTATTATGGGGTATATAATGTATTTTCTCTCAGAAATATTTTGAAACCTCTAACCTCCTGAGACCCTGCATCCTCATATGAGGACATTATATTTTAGTGAATTTCTCTGAGACTAAACATGCCACAGTTTTAAGTCTGGATGTCCTGTACAGAGCACATTCGGGGCTTTTCAGAGATACTAAATGTTTGGATGTTTCACCATGACCACTCCCTCTCCTTGATATTCAAATATGTCTGATATTAATTTAGTGACACTCTTATGGAAATATGATCATATTTTGTAATTATCATCTAAATCTGACAAATTTTTAAACTGTGTCATAAATCAACATCTCAGGAAAATGTCATTGGGTTTCAAATCAAAATATGACTACATAAGTAAAGTAAGCTTGTTTTAGAGGTTTCAAAATATATAGATCCGCAACTAAACACACCTGAACCAGTTAATCAAGGTCTTATTAGGCATATTAGAAACATTAGGTAGGTGTACTGAGGCAAGTTGGAGTTAATTTTTGCAGGACAGTGGCCCTAGATCTGGGTCCAGTTTCACGAATATCTTCATAAAAAATAAGTTATAATAAGAATAAATAAGAAATGTGTTCAGATAATTTTCAAGAAGTTCATAAGAATGCTCCTAAGTGCAATTCTTGAAAAAAATCTTAAGTTGTCAAATAAGTTCTAATTAAAAATTAAAGTGGCTGCATTGCTTGGCAACCGTAAACAGCCTACAGTAAATGTGTGTCCCAAATAGTGTACTTTTGCACTATTCTATTACATTTTTAGTATAAATACTGCGAGTAGTGCATTCACACTGAAAATTCCAAAAAGAAAAAATGCACTTTAAATACCCGGATGATGCACTTAAATAACCGAAAAAACAAAGTGTGGAATGTTGGACACTTCATGCACTCAACTGTCGCAAAGGAGGAGGGGCTATCAGACTCAGATTATGAATGACAAAATAACCTTATATAATTCATACACTACATGGTTAAGTACAAAATGCATAAGTACATAGTGTATGAGTGCATATAGTGCATCATTTGGAATGCATCTTAACACTGTCTACATCAGATCTGAGTGGTACATCGCAACGCATCAAAACTATACTGCTCCCATTATATTCAAAGAAGATATCAGCACTCGTAAGTTGCATCACATCCATTTGTGGTGCTATGCCAGTCACTATATTATCCTCACTCTAAATTTATTTGATATATATTTCAACCTCTGACTAAAGTCTCCAATCGTTTGTATATGGAGATGTAACATTTTTATTATTATTAGACTATTTTTTGTAATCTATTGAAATTAAAGTTTGTTCACCAATTTTTTGGTGAAGTGTAGCATTGAGCTCAAAACTGACTGGGCTGCCTCTGAGATAACATGCAATTTTGACACTTCCAGTGTGTGACAGTGTCAAACCATTGTTGCCCATATTACTGTGATGTCATCAACCACTTCAAGTGTAGCTACAACTCTCCAAGACTAAAAATATTACCTGTCAGTCTTTCATGGCTAACTGCTCAAATATACCCATCATTTATGTAGAAATAATGTCACTGAGGTACAAACAGATCATAATGCTTCTGTGCTGACTGTTGGCTACTCTGCTGAATTTTGGTTCACTTTGTCTGCTAAAACTCTATACTTAGGGAGCTTCACACTGAACGGTGGTGTGAGACTGATTTATATAGCCTGTGTAATTAGTAGCTTTCAGGTGAGCGTGTGATTGGTTACAGCTGTGTGCAATCAGTGCAATTGATGATGGGAAATGTAGTCCAGGGTATAGTGTAACAGTCTGTGTAGTGTGAGAGTCCATGTAATGAGCGGGTGACCTCTGGTGGTGAGTGAACGGAAGTTCATAGACTGGATTTGTGACAGCCATCTTCAAGAATCAGCTAAAAACAAATTTCTTCCATCTTTATTTGACCCTCTAACTCTAGCACTCTCT